GTGTTTGGAGGAAGAAGAAGGATGAGTACAATCCCAAGAACACCATCCCAACCGTGAAGCATGGGGGTGGAAACCGTGCTTTGGGGGTGCTTTTCTGCAAAGGGGACAGGACGACTGCACGGTATTGAGGAGAGGATGGATGGGGGCCATGATTTTGGGCATCAACCTCCTTCCCTCATATAATTATTCTCCCCCTTTTTCTGACCACTTGAATACCTTTGACCTTTTTTGGACCCTTTATGCATGGTGTGCTGGAGTCTGGTCTAATATAGTGTTATAGCCATATAGGTATATGGCTCTGCTTGATGTATGGAGAGAGATGTGTAGAGCAGGAGTGAACACCAAAATGTAACTGTCAGCTAAAGGAGAGTAATAGAGGCATTCGTAGCGTCATAGGAAACATATGTGGATCCATATGCTCTCCATGTTCTTGTTTCCAGTCTCCATCATTGTGTGAGATGCACCACTGCTCTGGGGGCCTCTAAAGTGCCCTGTGCCTAAGTGTGAGAGTGTGTGTGTGTGTACACATGGAGACATACAGGCATGAATTATGTCTTTGTGCTCTAAAGAAAAAGACATGAGCGTGAGTTTTTGTGTTGCCACAGAAAAACAAAGGGTTTATATAGTGTCTGTGGGAGTGTGTTCTAAATCTGCCTTTCTGTTCATTCTGAATAAACTGTCAAGTTAGGAAATTGTGTATTTCTGTGCCCTTCCATGGCCCCAGGCTGAGCCAGGCTGGCGGGAAGCAGCTCTGACGGTCATTAGGACCTGTCAGTATGCTGGGAGGGGGAATGCTGATAAATTTCAGATAGTGTCAATTGCAGATGAAAGATCTGCTGAAGATGCTAGGGGTGTCACGCTTGACTTGTCTCTGCTCAACAAGTCCCGTCTTCCTTCCAGCAACAACCTACCTCAAGCAGGAAAGGGGGCAGGCTCTCCCACCCTCTGCTGCCCCTTAGCCCCGGCTATCTCCAAACCCTCACTCCTGTGCCTACCTTCAGTCCCCCCACCCTGCTTACCTTGGCTAAGCTGCTTTGCACAAAATGCATGACTAGAACATTGTTGCTGGTGAAATCTAAGAACAGCTACCATCAGAATTCAAATAAACTATATTTAAAGTATATTTAAATCTAAAACACTATATTTACATTTTGAGACAAAGAAATTCTTTATAATTACAATAAATTAAGGCAATAGTATTCCTACAGCAGATGTATATTCCAGAAGAAGGCTTTCAAACAGCATTTAGATCTTCACCTGTACTTGTACAAAAGGTTTAACTGAAAAGTTTACCAAATAAACAAATAGAATAGCTCTTGTAAGACTATTTTTTCCCAAACACTTCTAAGAGATTCAGTACAATATTACTTAACAAATGATTATATGGACCACGCTAGTTTTGGCTACAAACACATTTATGGACTTCAAAATGTAAAAATAAAATACAGAAATATGATTCTGTAGATGATAAACACTCATGACACACAAAGACAACAAGTCCAGTAACTTTTACATGTAATCACTTTTTTATTGGCCAAGTATGTTGTCACACACAAGGAATTTGTCTCCACTAGTGAGCATTTAGCTGAGGAAGCCATCTGTGGTACCATCTAGGCAGGACAATACCCTTACTCCTGCAACACATTCACTCATTCACACAAACACCGATGGCAGAGCTGCCCTGCAAGGCGTGGACCTGGCCATTGAGAGTAACTTGATGTTCAGTGTTTTGCTCAAGGACACTTCAACATCTGGACTGGGCAGAACGTGAATCGGAGCAGAATTCAAAATGGAGTCAAACTCAAGTCGCTTGTGAGACAGAGCTGCGCTTTATGCCTTTGCCACCCTCCACTTGTCATTTATATTGTCACATTTTTAAAATTCTGATGTACTCTATCCAGATTAAAGGGGTGTGTCAATAAAATATTACTTTGCTTTCTAGCTCAGAACAGATGGCCCCTCAGAGAGCCCTGCCAGTCATGTGTCTGATACTCTAGGCCATGAGTCGTCCTGTTATTAAAGCCAAATGTCAGAACAAGCCCTCAAAGGATTTTACCTACAAATCAAGTCAGCCACTGCAATATTGATACAAATGGTTAAATCAAAGTGTCCTGAGCAGCCACCTCAGTCCTGACCCTAAGCCCTTTCAGCATACAGAGGGGAGATGGTTGTTAGCAGGGATTATGTTATCCAACCAGCCATTGCAAAACCCAAAATGTGTCCTGCAAAAAAGGCACTGACTGCTGCCCGTTCCTGTGTTCATTCAGGTTTTAGCATCGGCGCCTGCACTGGAATCTTAATGTTGTAAAGCTCTCAGGTGCTCTGAGGAAAATCATGCAGTGTTGGGGTTTCACACTGACTGCTCCTTAGATCTGTGCTGTGTGCTCTGCACACCAATTACTAGCCCTTCAGGTAGAAAGCTTGGATTTCAAAGACTTCAAAGGACAAGCTTGTCGCAAATGAGCCTGCCATTGGCTGTTAAACACATGCTTGAGGTGACATCATGATTTCGACTGACCTTGGAAGCACAGAAGGACACAAACAATACTGAGGTGCAGAGAACGAGTTAAACTGATATCTACAGTATATACAGTATTTAGGCTTGTCATGATGATGAAGAGCTTCTTGATTTGTGTATTCTCCAGACAAATTTGACAACTTCAATTGTTATTTGATGAAAATGGTTTAAATTTACTGAAATTTGATTAAAATAACTGACATTTTGAAATGCTGAATGGTAGATGAGCAGATTGATACCACTCCCAGTCCTGTTGGTAACTTTGAAGCTCCTAGCAGCGCTTCCACAGCTCACTGATTATCATGTAAATAAGCAGAAAAAATTCTGGTTTTACAGGTTTGTCATCATGACAAAACTCTGGGAAACAAACAAAGAAGATTAGACTTGTGAATTAATGAGCAGAGGTTCTGCAGACTTTGTTACCTTCAGGCGTGATAGCTGTTTCGCCTTGTTTATGGTCTTTACCTAAGCTAGTGTATCGTAGCTATGGTGTAGAAACAACAGTTTACT